ACTGGGTTTTGCAGGCCGTGTAGATTGGAGAACGAGAGGGAGAGGAAGAAAGAGGTAAAGAAGCAGAAGAGGAAGGTGAGCAAGGCAGAGAAGGGTAAGAAGGTAGACGGCGGTAGCAAAGTCAGTGGATCGGGTGGTGAAGGTAGAAGTGGATTCGGAGGTGGGTTTGGAAGGGAGCGGAATGTTAGGGTGGAGAAGGAATATGTCAAAGTGGATGGAGGTGGAATTGGGAGTAAAGATGACTGGGAGGTGGGGATGCCACCGAAGACGATTAAGCAGTACCAAATGGATTTGAGAATACTCAAAGAGAGCATCGGGACGGGTACCGGAAAGGCGATGAGTTTGTGAGGGGGGTTTAACATGGAGTGGTAGTTTGGTAGCTGGTAGAGAGATGACTAATGGTTCGATATGTAGGCGTTCTTGTTGGTCAGTCGAGCATGAAACCATGGTCGACGCCCTCGCTTTTTGGATATATTTTCCATTTCAACTCGTAGATAAGAACGCATCACCGCAAGCATCCAACTATCTTACATCTGCACTTACAACACCACAGCAACATCACCCCAAGACAATTTCGCAACACCGATTTAGAAGATGTCCGGCATGTCACTCCAACCACTAAGGCCAACGCGCCCACAAGCAATCCAAGTAGATCTCACCATGACACGAGAGCTCCTCCGCGTCTTATCTCGCGGTGGAAATGGTCATCCTCTCCACCACGACTCCCTCTACCAGTCGATCTACCTATCTAGCGCGATGGCCTCACAACTTCTATACGATTGGCCAGTCCTCCAGGCTCGCGCGCTCACCCCTCTCTTCCTCAGTCTCAAACAAAGATACGAGTTACAAGCGAGGCACTACCGAGCTTGGAGGATGTTGGTCACCAATGGCCTTGCAACGGAGGAAGCGATTCGTCTTCCGATTGATGAGCGCAGCTCGGTGAATAAGCCTGCGGTTTGGAGGTTGCTTGATAGACTCTCTGCTTTTCCAGCATTTGCCGCCGTCGATATATTGGAGGTAGGAGGGTTCAAGTGCCAATGCAAGAACTGCTCAGAAATGGCATTAGATTTGGAACAACAAAGGGGGGACGTGTTCGTTCAGCCGGGGTACTGGTTTGCGGCGGTCGTATTGAGGTCAAATTGCGACATTGACAGTGTAATGGAGGCACTGAAGACATGGGGTGGATTTGGAGAGTGGGATGCGGGCCATAGATGCTATGTGCCCGATGAGAAGCTGAATGAGGAGTTGGTACATGTTGAGAAGGTCGAGAAAGAGGAAGACACCCTTCAAAGGGGAGATATAGGTATACTGTTCGGAGAGGAGATCGAAGCGGCAGAGGACGATGTTGAGAATACCGAAGATATCGATGGCTTATCTCGACTACAAACCGAAATCGACAGTGAGGGCGAAAGCTCCACAGGCATCGAAACACCGCCCTCGACAACCGAGGAGCTTGTAGATCCTACACTCACGCTGTCTCCCATTCCGGCACCAACGGATCCCTGCCCAGAACACTGTCCCTCCCGCCGGCGTCGCCTCCGCGATGACATCCGCAATCCGAAATATCCATCGTGTACATACCACTGCCACAATCCACATGCTTCTTTCGAATTCGAGCCAAGCGGCGAGCAAGTTGGTTTCTGGCTTCCTCATGGACTGCAAGATGAACAGGCACGGAAAGATTGGGCAGTGGCGACTAACAAGAGAATGAGGGATTTTAGGATGGCATGGAACAATCTGTTTGGAAATGACGATGCAGGTGTAAAGGCTACTATAGGGGTTCAGCGGTGTGCGTGGGATTTCGTTAGAGCGGATTATGGGTACGGTGAGCGGAGGAACTGAAAAGTTGCTTCTGTGGTGGTTTACGTATGTAATGAGTCGTAGAATACGATAATTGAATGTCGCGCAATATGGTTCGGCCTGAGTGTGTGTTATCTAGTGTTCAGTCCACTGAAAAACCTATCCAAGGTTGCGTTCTGAACTCCTCGTCTCCGTCAAGACTCTCAACTCAGGCGAGATATTTGCAGCTACCGATCGAAGAACATTGAAATCGTTAGCTGTCTCGGGTACAGTGCTAAATGGAGAGACTCCCGAGGTCGATTCGGAGCTCGGTAGCGCGTGGCATGGCCGGCCGCCTGCATAATTTATCCGCCGGACATGAACGCTGTTGTGTAAATTCACACCCTGCTAGGATGTGCCGATGTGGTGGTTCAAAAACGTCTCCTGGTGTATCGTAGTACTCAATCGCTCTTGCACCAAGTGCCATTCAGCGCGTTGCCCCTCGCTGTGCTCTAGCTCAATTAGTGTCTTGGCGTCATGTCATCATCACTTGGGCCGAGTTCCCATCCCCAGTCTCAGCTCGCCCTTTGCAACACCCATCTCAACATGTGTATACCATCATCGCCAGCATTACCTAGATATACATGGAACATCTTCCGGTGGCTCGATCCGTTCTTGTGAAAAGGAGCGTGTCCCTCCGTTCAGCCGCAAGCCAATCAGCCATGTCGCCAGGGTATGGGTGCAGTCGCAATCTCAAGAGGCCTGCTTCGCGAAGTCGAAGACCCTCGCTTTTTGACAGGCGAGCGTCACGCCATCGCGTTACAGGCGAACAGAGGCTTTTGTCCGACTAACCGACAAGGAAGACCTAACTCCAATGATGCGGACCGCTCCCGGCACTGCTTTAGTATGAAGATCACATCCCAGCCTCGCCCTAAGACTTGATACTTCCTGCATAGTTGACCAAACCTGTATTGCGCCCCGATGCTTTGGGTAATCGCCGTCTAACCTAACTACTGGAGTCGAGCAGCCGTTCAACAAGCGGCGCGCAACTTGAACCACCTCCGGATCAGTCAACTCCTGAGACAACGCCGTACACGTGGCTGTGTTGGTGTGCCCACTCCACACCAGTTGCAGCACACGTACGCAACCACAACGATAGGCCACATGCTGTGCCCCTTCGAGCTCTCCGCAAGATCGTAGGGCTGCGCAGGCAGTTCCTCGACTGCTTCAGCAGATACACTCGAGGTATCGAGCGTTCTGTGAGGTAATAAAAAGCTCTTTTAGCCGGCATGCCAGCCGCTTTATGCTCAACGCGACGTTGCCACCATGGTTTCCCAACTCCTATACTTTTGCGCAGCTGCATGTGGCACAGCTCTGTTGTGCTACTCATCACGAGAAGAACCGCACTGGCGGGTTCGTACCTGATACGTTCACCCTGCTTCTTGCTACCCGCGCCGCTCACCCCACATTCCATACAACATGTCCGTTCTCGCAGTAGTCGTGGATCGGCCTCTGCTCAACAGCCTTTCTAGCGTATGTCTAAGACTATGTATCAAGTCATTTTGTCGGACTTGAATTGGACGCCCATCGTTCAGATCATCACTTGGTTCACTCTCGTCACCAGCCTCCTAGCGTTCTTAACGCATGCCGGCATCAAATTCTACGTGTTTCGAACATTGACTATCGAGTCATGGCTCGTACTTGCATCCCTGGTAAGTCAAGCATGAACATACTCAGCAACATTTGCTAATAAATATTGCCAGATATTTTGCGTCGCACAATCTGTCGCCGTATTGCTGCAAGCACACTACGGTTTCGGGAAACCGATCGCGACTTTGAGTGGATATCAGATTGAGTCGAATCTCAAAGTAACCTCCTACCTCCGCTTGAGTACCTGGTCCGGAGCGCTGATATGAGCGAAGAGCGAATACGCCGCAATGATACTCTTCATTGTCTCCCTCGGCTTCTCGAAGCTTGCTGTCGTAGCATTCGTCCATCATCTGACTCCATCCGAACTCCACCGCAGAATCAACTTCGGCGTCTTGGCTCTTATAATCTTATGGCTGGTTTGTTCTGTGTTGGTCGCAGCATTCGAGTGCCGGCTGCCCCGGCCATGGGACAGAACATTGGATCGCTGCATCGACCGTGTCAGTAATCAACGCAGATGCGTAGTCGGCTTCTGGCTGACGTTAGGCAGTTGACCTGGTGGAATACCGTCTCATGCTTCAATATCATGACAGAGCTCGCGATCGTGGCCTTGGAATTGGGCATAACAGCGCAACTTCACATGCGACGGCAACGGAAGGCGGCGGTCATGGCTTTGTTCTCATGTCGGTTACTGTGAGTACGAAGCCCTACAGGTATCTCAAATACTGACGAGCTACACAAGAGTTCTTGTCGCTGCTGCGGTTCAGCTTAGCTTCTTCAATCGCGACAGCACCAATTCCACTTTGAAAGACGATCTAACACTCGGTTACTGGCGCTCATCTATCTGCAACCAGATTGTGCAATGCTTTGCTATCGTCACTACATGTCTTCCGTATACCAAGCTTTTCATGGAGGGGTTTGAGTCGGGACTCATGCGATTGGACGATCTGCGCCGTCGAGGAGAGCAAACCTCCAAAGACGACAGCAAAGGATACCAACTCATGGACATATCGCGATCGGGACGCTCCGAAAATTCCAGACCCTCATACAGCGGGCCGGATAGGAGCATCCAAGTATCGAAGAGTTGGGCAGTGCAAGTAGAACCAGTAGCCCGCATGCCGGCTACAACAATACTGCAGTAAATCTATATCTATAGTATGTACCACAGTCCAGAAAGCACAAACCAACACATGCAAAAATTGGCACGGCATTTCAGAAACGCACACCCTTGCTGTACCCTCGTTTCGCAGTGCAGGTGGCACGGCACGCAGCATATGCGCCTAGGTTTCTTCCAGCAGGTCTTCCGGATTGGGACAACTGGTGCTACGATCCTATTGGTGAACAGGCTATAGGTCAACGGTCAGGATCATTACGAGGATCATCTCGGCTACAATGTTGTGCATAAGCGGCCCTAGTTCTTCATCTATGCGGCTACTTGGTTCTAACGGCAACTCGGTTCTTTCTCTTTATCCTTCTGCTTGTTCTCTCTTTCATCTCCTCCATCATCGGTCGTCTCACGAGTTCCGCTTTTATTGCTGTATCGACTTTTCACTTGTACTCGTATTGGTGGCACGATGGCGTTCTCTTCGACTAAATCCAGTGAGCCGGAACTAAACACTGCAAGGCCACGTTCTAGCGACAAGCACGATGATCTTGCTCTGGCAAGATTGGGGAAGAAAGCTGTACTGAAGGTATGTATTCCTCTGCATTGATCACGAACATGGCTGATGCAAGTACAGCGTCGCTTCGGCTTCCTGTCTATCCTCGGTTTCAGCTGCACCGTCTTGATCACCTGGGAAGGATCTCTTGTGTACGTCGTACTACCTAGTACTACACGTTGACACGTCGCTGACAGTTTCTCAGGTTGTTCCTGGTCGGCTTCCAGAAGTGAGTACACAGCATGACACAACACATCAACCATGAGACAGTCGTGCTGAAAGAAGCAGTGGCGGCCCCGCTGGTGTGATCTATGGCTACCTCATCGTATGGCTCGGCACCGTATCTGTGTTCATGGTGCTCAGCGAGCTTGTTTCAATGTGAGTTACGACCGGAAGCCGGGTCTTTTAACGTTGAGCCAATTGCCAACATTCATCAAAGGGCGCCTACATCTGGTGGTCAATACCACTGGGTTTCCATGCTTGCACCAAAAAGCTCTCAGAAACTGTTGAGTTACATCTCAGGTGTGTAAACCTCAAACTCGACGATCTCTATCGATAGCGTGTGCTAACGCGACTTCCCCGCAGGATGGCTCACTCTCTGTGGCTGGCTAGCATCACTCGGGTCCGGCGCTTTCCTCACCGGTGGCCTCATTCAAGGCCTTCTCATGCTCTGCCAACCCGATACGTACGTCCCTCAGAACTGGCACGTCACTCTCCTCTACTGGGCGATCATCGCCTTTTGCGTCTTTATCAACATTGCTGCTGGATGGCTACTACCCAAGTTCGAAGGAGCGCTATTGGTCTTGCATATCCTTGGTTTCTTCGCCATCTTGATTCCCTTGCTGGTTCTTGGGCCACAGGGTAATGCGAAAGAGACTTTTACCACGTTCGTAAATATGGGACATTGGCAGACTCAGGGATTGAGCTTTTGTATTGGCATTATGGGGAGTGTCTTTGCGTTTGTTGGCGGTGATGGGCCGATTCATGTGAGTGTCTGCCTACTTTAGATCAACTTCCAGCATCCGGCTTCGCAGCAAGACACTAACACATCATCATAGCTATCCGAGGAGATTCAAAACGCACAGATCGTCGTACCTCGCTCCATCATGACTGGCATCGCAATCAACGGCTCTCTTGGCTTCGTCATGATGGTCACCGTGCTCTTACGGATGGGCGATCTCGACACTGTACTTCTAGAGAACCCTGCGTTCCCTTTCATGGCTATCTTTCATCGAGCCGTTCAATCACGCTCTGGTGCCGCTGTCATGGCATCCATCGTCATGGTGCTGACCATCAGTGCGAACGTGGGCTTCTCCGCATCGACATCGAGAATTTGCTGGGCTTTTGCTCGAGATCGGGGTCTACCTGGATGGAGAACCTTGAGCAAGGTATGTATACTACAAAACCTTAGATAGGAAAGAAAGGTCGTACTAACATATACCAGGTCAGCGATCGTACATCCATCCCCGTCTACGCCGTAGCCTTCACAAGCTTCATCGCCTGCCTTCTCGCACTAGTAAACATCGGATCCACCACCGCCTTCAACGGCGTAATCTCCGTCGCCATCGCCGGTCTCTTCTCCTCCTACCTCCTCACTTCTTCCCTTCTCCTCTACCGCCGCTGCACAGGCGCCATTCTCCCACCCAGCGAATCCTTCGACACAGATAGTCAATCCACAACTAGCGACGGTATGGTCCGCGCTGTATGGGGCCCTTGGCGTCTGCCCGGCGCAATAGGTATCGCTAATAATGTCTTTGCCTGCGCCTATCTTAGCTTTGTTTTCTTCTTCAGTTTCTGGCCTAGCTTTGCGGAGGTTACGCCTGCGAATATGAATTGGGCAATTTTGGTAACGGGTACGATAGCGGTCATCAGTGCGGTTTATTATGCGGTTTGGGCAAGGAAGACGTATCATGGGCCAGTTGTTGAGATTGATGAGCGCGATTTGAGTGGGAGGGTTAGTGTGATTGAGCAGCGTCTTGAGATGGGTAGTAAGTAGATGGGTTGAAAAAGGTATACTTTGTCGTACGAGACTGCTTATTAGGGCATTTTGATAACGGAATAGAGTGTGTTTAGTCAGATGTCCAAGATCTTCTTGTCATCCTTCTTCCCATAGGCGTCCCACCATAGGGCTAGTTCTGTGGCCTTCGCACATCCCGCTTACCCCAGTTTATCATCAATAATCTCAACCTTCACACCATCCCCAAGTTCCTCCAAAAACGTCCTGCGTATCTCTTCCCTCTCCCTCTCCCCCACACCAGAAACATCCCTCAACACAACCAGCTTCAACCTCGGCAGTCCACAAAGCATAATGTACTCCCGAATCCACAACCATCTCCCCGTCGGATAATATTCATGGTCCGTAACAACCAACTCAATCCTGTTTCTCTGTCCAATCGTAAACCTGTGTAGCATATCATGGAAACCCGCGAGTACCGTTGCGCCGAAAGTGTTGTGGATGAAGGGGTAGTAGGCTCCTAGGTCACAGCGGATTTGGCGGCAGGTGAGTGGGAGGTTGATGGCTAGCTTCTTTGTGATGGGGTGCATTTCCCAGGTTTTTTGGTGGGGTGGGCGGCATCCTAGTCGCTTCTTCTTGTCGTCACTGGGAAGGGTTACGAGGTAGATTTCATGGCCGCCTAGGGCGTAGTAGTAGATTTGGTTTCGGATTTCGCTGGGGAGGCGCAGGAAGGGGGAGTTCAGTTGGTTCTGTGCCGCGATGGCTTGGTTTGCGGCGGAGATGGTTTTTGAGGCTCTTGGTGACATGATGGTGGTGTTGAGATCGAGGAGAAAGTGTTATGGAGGAATGGGACTGAAATGTAAAGCTATATAATCCTATGTGAGATAGACGTTCTTTTGGAAAGGACAGTCCTAAGAGCATGATCCATGGGTGGCCACACTCATACTTCTCGGAGTGAGTCAGTACCAAAGTACAACTACAAGATACCGAATCAACAGCTCTGTATTGAAACACAGGACTCAGACATCCGTACCCAATAACACATAAAAGAAGCCCACTTATCTTCCCTTCGGTACCAACGAGCACCTGACCTACCCCATCTACATCCATCTTCCATCATTTCTCCGTCTACTCGATATGGGCATCTCAAAACTTCCTCATAGCATCATTAACCAGATCCGCACCAAACGTCGCTCCAGCCCCATAAACCGCCGCATTCCCAAATTTATGCGCTAGCTTACTCGCCCATTCGTGGTGCTGCACATCACATTAACATATCTTCTTCCTCGTCTCCAAACCATCCAACATCGTTTTGTTTCTGGATTATAGATGGAATGGGTAAAGGAAAGACATACCTTTGGATGGTTCGGATTCGCCGGATGCGCCGGATCCTGAGCTTGTTGCGCGACTAACGCGGGGTTGAACTGGTTCCCTCCATCTACATACTTGGGATCGATGTATTGGGAGGGTTGGCCGTTCGGTTGCTAGTGTCCGTTAACAGGTGCTCTTAGTGTTCTGGATGAGACAAGCAGACAAGACAAAGGTAGGAAAGATGTAGCAGAAAGCATACGTACAGGTAACTGCGCCTGAATAGACTGCAACTGCGGCGGGGCCAAAACACCGCTTGAGACGAGATACTCGAGTTCCGTCCTGATAGTGCTGATGGAGCGGTTGATTTGTGCTGCGTCTGGCATTTTGATGGTATACTTTCGTTCGACCGTCTTTGAAATAAAACAGGACTGATTGATTGTAGGGAAAGCAGTAAAACGAGTAGTGGTTCACTGCCAAGTTAATGCGTGTTGCTTGGCAGAAAGCTTGATTGAGATACGATCGAGGCGTCGATGGTGGGGGGTGGGGGATGTGCAAGTGACGTCAATATTCCAGACTGCTGGTTCCGTCCGAAGCATACCTAGATACACACAGCACTTAAACCATTCGAGCTAGAGTTCAATGTATAACTTTCATTCAATAGCTTATACTAGCGAGCATGATCTCGCATCTCTATACGATATACAATTCTATAGTCCTTCCCATCCAACAATATCGGAACAGGGTATTTTCTATGGACCTTTCTTTCGGGACGCCAATGACAAGAGATTTCGTAGCTATACACAACAAAAGTAGAGAAGTGGTTTTGCTTGATGAGTCTTTGCTTTTCTTACTCCTTCTTCGCTTCAGCGGGCTTCTCGCCCTTGCCAGTGGGGTCGTCCATCTTCAAGGCGCGCTCATCCTGTTCGGCACGCTCGGCGCTTCCACCGGCGGCATCACCAGCGCTGGCCTCGGCTTCTTTGCTCTCCTCTTCGGCCTTGGCTTCCTTTGCCTCCTGTGCGTCCCGGGCAGGCTTCTCGTCGATGTCCTCGTGGTCCTTGGGCGAGGCTGTGGCCTTGTTCTCAACGGTCTCGGTTTGCTCGTTCTCCTCGTTGATGAGTTCTTGCTGCTCCTTGAGGACCTCAAGACGCTGCTTGTTGGTTGCGGCACCTTCGGCGTTGCGGACCTCGAGATCCATTTCGTGGTACAGTTCCTCAGGGATACTGGAGAGGACGGCTTCCAAAGCATCGATTTGAGAGGTCATCTCGGTCTCCTTGCCCTGGGCGTAAACGAATGCGTTGGAGAGCACGAGAAGAGTTGATGGAACGCCGTGCTTCAGGCGAAGATCGAGCCAGCTAGTGAGGTCGTCCCGTAACCGGCCAGGAGAGACGCCGTAGGTTCGTAGACCGCGGCTTGCGCAGGCGGTCTGGAGCTCGGGGACGGAAAGGCTTTCAACACCTTCGTAGGCAATGGCACGGTCGTCACGCTTGATCTGGCGCATACGCACGCGAACCTGGTAGCGCAGGAAGTTGTCTGTACCGAAGGAGGTGATGTTCATGTAGCGGCAGATGGAAACCAGCTGAGGGCGAGACAAGTTGTCCAGGGTGAGGTCGTCCTTGAAAATCTTGCACACCTTGATGATCTCCTCTGGTGTTGGCTTCTCTCCCGTGGTGCGCACCTTGCGGAAGAATTCGGCAAACTCCTCTGTCTGCGCGTTCTCAGCAGAGACAGGCAGGCCAGTCTCCTTGAGTGTTTGACGAAGGAAGTCGCTAACGTCCTTTCGGGTCGCTCGGAGCGTCTGGGCTTTGGTGTCCTTGGCCGACTGACCCTCGTACGTGCTGGGCAGCATGTTGGGGAAGAGCTTGAGCGCTACAGGGAGCAGCAGTTCGGCGAAGGGGACGATGACGAAGGGCAGGAAAGGTACCAAGCGGGCCAGATCCTGTACGGTACGTTGCAACTAGGTCTGTTAGTAAAATTCACAAATGCTGGCTTCAAACACGTACTTGTCGACGCTCACGGCGGGTAAGTTCGTACCCAGCTGCCATCTTGAGAGCGAGTTTGGAGCTAATCCGGACCTCGAAGCCCAGCAGCTTGGTGCCATCCCAGTAGTGGACCAATTCCTTCTTGACCTTTTGCCAGACGGTCAACTTCTTCTTCTCTGCGTCCCTTTTGGCCAGGATCTTCTTCTCGTCCTTGGACTCAGCAGCCGACTTGTCCATCTTCAGCTCGCTTAATGTTTGGACATCTTGCGCGGGTGTCTTCGGGTTGGAGGTTGCGCCAGACTTGGGAATGATGGGGTCTGATTTCTCGGGAGACTGTTTTGACTGTTGCTGGGGCTTGAGGAGGTGCTGGTTGGCCTGCTTGGGGTCGAAACCAGGAGGCGGGTAGTTTTGCGCATTGTTCGACGTCGACTCAGTTTGGAGGGCGCGTAGCGGAATGAGGATGCGAATCGCGGGCGAGTTCCTCAGCATAGGGCGATGAGCTCTGGTAGTAGTCCTGATGCCCGCTCGGAATACTGCGGGCGCTGCCCTGGAGGCAGTGCGACCGGCGTACATTGCGCCGGGGGAAGTGTAGGGAGTGACGTATACAGTACAACGATTAAAGTAGTGTGGGTAGTGAATCAACAGATGAAGGGTAGAAAAGAGAAGGCTGTGTGTGTGTTGGGAATTTGATGCAAGGAGTGTGGAGTGATGCAGCTCTGAGAAAATGGGTTCCTCTGACGTTGCGTCTTCGGACTTAGTCTCAGGGACCGCCGGGCGATCTGCTGGGTAAAGCTTGGTCGCCACCAACGGGCGCATAAGCCATTCGCCTGACGCGCATCATGGTGACAGCTAGGAAGATACCGGATGGACGCATGACATGTGCGCCATGGGCCGCTACAGGCAGGCAGCAACATGTACCTCGGATTTGTACGAAGAGACGTAAGGGCCAATGGGTATTCTCTCTGTCGGCATATTGTCGCCAATTGGCCGAGGCGCTGGGGTCTCCGATGTCCGCAAGAACGACAGCGCGGCTTGCGAATGGCATGCCGTGAATGCTGGGCCGTCCCCTCACTCCACGCCTATCCGACGGTAATCGTCCCTCTCCCATCTTAACCCAGGTTCCGCGTCTGGGCACTCCATAATTCCTCCTGTCACTTCTCTCCGAACCCTAGTTCCGATCCTCCATTTCATTCCACACAATTTTCGCCATGGATTTGTTTTAGTAACTACGAGCCCTCGGCGGAGCCCTCGAGCTTTATTCACCGTACCGACCTGGACTATCCCCAGCAGCATATTTCTAGAGTCGCTTCTATAGCATAAATCAGCGACAACACACATCACAACAATGACTGTCCAACGGTTGTCCAAGGCCGCCAGGATCATACTGGTCGGCGCGCCTGGCGTCGGGAAGGGAACTCAGACGGAGCGCATGATGAAAAAATTCCCTGAGCTCTCGTCAATCAGCTCTGGCGATTTGCTGAGGAAGAATGTTCGGGAGCGGACACCTCTCGGTATGCGCGTTGCTCTCTTCATAACGAAAAATGCTGACTTGCGCAGGCATACACGCCGAATCCACGATGAAGGCTGGCAAACTAGTACCCGACGCCATGATCCTGCGCCTCATCGTCAACGAACTCACGAACCGCGGTTGGATACGAGACAACGCTTTGCGGCCATATGCGCTCAACTTCAGCTCCATGGACGTGCCAGAGACGACGGTAGATGCAGTCATGATCCCCTCGGCGGTACGGGCTCCCCGCTACACCTTCTCCAACAGGCCGTCGGCTTCATTCATACTCGACGGTTTCCCCCGAACCGCCGTTCAGGCGATCCAACTCGACAACATCGTGCCCATCAACATGGTAGTCAACCTCAACACCCCGAGTGACATCATCATCGATCGCATATGCAACCGCTGGGTACACGAGGCATCGGGACGTGTCTACAACACCACATTCAATGCGCCAAAGGTAGATGGCAAGGATGATATCACGGGCGAGCCGCTGACACAAAGAGCGGATGATGACCCGGAGGTGTGGAAGGCGCGGTTGAAAAACTTCAAGGAACACAGCGAGCCTCTGCTGGAGCATTACGACAAGCTCGGCGTACTCTGGACGGTCAACGGGAACAGCAGCGACGAAATTACCCCGCAGCTTTTCGAAGAGTTTAGCAAGCGCTTCGGCGCCCATGACGATTGATGTGTTTTCCATGTCTCGGATTAGGTCTTGGTTGGTTAAAGGTCACTTACGATACCTCTGTTTTCTCTCACTAGGGTGGGCTATGTTTGGTGGCATTTCGGTGTGGACGCGGCAATTGCGCGTGTTTGTTAGACAAGTCGCACTTTCTCCATTCACTGTAGATGCTTGGTGACCCTCCATGGTTGTGGCGGTTAGCTGCACTCGTTATACACTATTAATCATTCTTGCAAAGCTCGCTCACTATATCATGGTCGCTGTAAAAGACTCTCATTCGCTTTATAGGAGCGCCGACGACTTTGAAGCCATGTACGAGCGCGT